AGTAATAAAAACCACCTGTTATAGGGGCATTTTTTGGAGAAATTTATCAAACAACCAAAAAAACACGAATTTGAAAGCAGATTTTTTTCAAAAAGTATCATTTTTTATTATTTGTTGGCCTTTTTTGTGTATTTTATGTATTTTTTTAGTATCACCTGTTATTTAGCATTATTACTGTTTTTATTTTATCAGGAAATACCGCTTAGTTTAAAAGTTATTACGTTTTCTTTACAATAAGTAATTGGAAGAAAAAAAACTATAAAAAATAAAAAAAAATCTCAAAAATTTTTTGACCTCTTTTTTGTCGATAAAAATAGGTCTAGTTTCATCTAGCTTCGTAGTCGTATACATACAGTCGTGCTCATATTTACTTGAGTATCAATGCCTTATACCTATCCCACTTTTGACTAAAATTATTGAAAAGAAACAAATACTTAGGTACTTAAGGATTTTTTTTTAACGTTACTCCAGCATTCAAAATTCTCGTAGGTAACTAAATAACCACCGTTGTAGTTTAAAGTTTGCATTTGTTTACAATTTCGTGATCTTATTTCATTAGAACTTTTCTTCTGTGACAGTTATGTTCTTTTGCTATTTCACAATGTGCAATAACCACATGCACTGACATTGCACGGTGGTGCGCGGCGCCATCGCAGCGCCTGCCCTTGAATCGCTGGCAATGCGCCAGCTCTGCGAATCGATGCCGTGTCTTGTGCGTCATCAGATGGTGAAATTTTGGAACGCATTTGCAAGTTTATAGTGAAGGTTATGCTTTAAAAGTAATAAAAACAGGCGATTATGAGTCGTGTGCCAAATGACGTAGGTATATTTCACTGACCTGAGGTAGTCGGTGTGTGTACCACCTACCCACTCTCAGATTCAGTGGCACGGGCCAAGTTATTCTAATTCTAATCTCTTGATTAACCTACTACACTCGATCCGGCTAGTAGGCTGTAGGTTCTGTTCTTAGGTGGGGCATAACATAAGGTACAATTTGATATAGGTAATTTAAATAAAATAACGACTGTACTTAGTGTAAGTTAATTTCCAGTTTAGTTACAAAGTTAAATTGTAAGTAGGTAAGATCAGTGTAAATTTTCCGAAAATAATGTTTATTTTATTATGGAGGCTTTTTGAGTCGACTGAGTCATAAGCGGCTTATACCGGCTTAAAAGTCTAATCATTACTCAACCTACGCAATATGAAAAGATGACTTTTTTTAATTTTCTTTTGCCTTTATTAGGTAATTTCCCCTTAACCGAGGAGGGTTGTAAGAGAGGAGAGGAAGGTTAAAGTTGAGGGGGCCTTAGTTTTGAGTTGACGTAAGTAATATTGGGGTTTTTTTATTATGTGACAGCAGGCAAACGAGATATTATGGATAGGTATTGAATATCTCAGTCAGCCATACAGTCAAATAGAGACTAAGAGTGCGCACACTACGCCGATTCGATTTGGCCGATTCTTCATACAATTTAAAATCGGGCACAACTAAGTATCGGCCAACTAAAAATCAACGGTGTGCGCATACTCTAAAGAAAACCCCCGTATGCTACGGCTACATCTATCTACGATGCTACGAAAGTTCGTAGCAGGAAAGTAGGTAAATGGAACTGTTTCTTTGTTTTCGAGCTTTCAGCTCACTTTCTTGTTTTTAATTTTAAAAGTATTCATTTTATTAATAGGTAGGTTAGTTTTTTAGTCACATAGGTATTTATTTATCTTTATAAAAGAAACTTACAGCCTTGTTTGATACATGCAGTATTTTCTTTTATTTGCTCAACATAAATACGTACTTAGTAGGTAAATACACAATGGACTTATGAACTGAAACTATTGAAATTGCATTTTTTTTTATGCATAACAAGGCAGGTATTTGACCACAATCGCACCTGATGTTAAGTGGGATGCAGTCTAGGATGGCACATATCTGCCCTGTAAGGTAGGTATTACGAGGTATCCGTAATCATTCAGGGCAAATGAAACAATTTTTAGTGATAAAGTTATTTTATTATCCAACATAAGTAGGTATCCTCACTACAAATCTTCATCTCAGTATCTCTAAACTACATTTTAAAAGTAGATAGGCGTGAAACTCGTAGGTAGGTAAAAACATAGAGCTATATCTTTCAGGATAAATGCTGTTTCTCATGAAGCATTTTCAAAATATGCTTTGGAAATAAATAAGTAGGTCGGAGTAACATGTTGGCATCAAATTATGAAATCAAACTTATGTACTTAAAATGAAAATACATCCAAAATATCTAATTATCTATTACCGTAGGTACGAGTGTAATAAGTCTACTTCCTACAAGGATCCTTTGATATAATTCTGAACAACAAGCGTGAAATGTTTATTTGTAAAACTTTAAAATCTTACAAATACAGGATCCAAGTGAAAACTAGCACACTACACCACTACAAAGATTTAGAATAGCAAAATATATCTCCACTTTAATTGACAATTGCTATGCGAAGGAAATTCTTCAAGCGAAGGGGTCTACACTGCAAAACGACGAATATCGTCTCTCCTACACATGAAAAAAATTACGTTTCAAGAAAATGGAGATTCCGAAAATATCGAATCGTTTCGCATAGTTGCACCCCAAACGTCTGTAGTGCCACAAGCAGCACCACTCAAAAATAAGTTACAATTAACTATTTACATTTAAAACTATTAATTATGCATGCCTCGGTGATTCGATGAGAAATTTTATATTGCACCGTTTTATTTTGCTTTTAAACATATTAACAGAACAATATTTATTTGTTTGTAAACTATTTTCTACATGGCAGGATGAAGTATGAAATCTACATTTTATTTTGAGCGATTGACTTATGTATTCGAAATGTTGAATTATTTATTTACTTAATAATTCTGTACATTAGGAAAGCATTTGTAATAGGAAAAGTACCTAGTCGAGAAAATACTATTGGAATCTACATTAATTTTATCAATTTTTAAGCTATTTTGAACTTTTTCTTTTGGCGTTTTATACAAAAATATAACTATGTAAGTACTAACTTTAATATCTTAGAATTTAGAATATTCACAGAAAAATATTTACATCTTACAAAAAGCTTAAAACCAAATCGAAGGCTTTGAAGTAGGTATTCAACATTGAGTAGATCACATAATACAGTATGTATTAAACTCAATTAGCGCTACTATAACCTAATTTTACTGCCATAGGTACTTACACTGCACTTAGCTGTGAAGCTGGCATTACATACTGTCGTCTATGAAATTTTTCTTTTTTTGCAGAACAAAGCAGTTATTTGATCGCAATCGCACATATGTATGTGAGATGCTGTCTAGAATGGTACATACTTGCCCTGTAAGTGCCTATTCACTATCGTCTTGAAAAGGACCGGATGATTCGGGAAAGGCAACATGCATACGTTATCAACATAAATTTAAACAAGCGCTGGAATCGAACACGCGAAGATAAATAGGCCATCAGTGCCATCAGCGTCCAACGATCTGTAGGTAGGTGATTTTTCTTTACTATTTTTTCCTGCGACACGTAGGTAGTTATGCTTAACTCCACAAGTTTCCATCTAAACGTGCAGTAAGGTGAGGTACCTTACAAGAGTAGAGTGATTTCGTTTATTCTGCATAGTCATACAATAGAATGCACCTATTGTATGAAAACTCGGTATTTGGGTTGGACGATAGTGTAGAGCCATTAAAACAAGTAAGTACTGAATTAACGTCAATCAAATTAAGACGTACTAGGAAATTATGTACCTATTGTTATGTCGTCGTAACTATTATACAGTTATTATAGTAATCTTTAGTGAATATTTCAGGCATCCCATGATTATAAAGGCCGTAAAACTTACGTAAAAATGCAAGTATGGGTCGACATCGTTGTTAAGCTTGACAATTTGGCATCTTATAAAGTGGGTAATAATGGGTGCTATTTTGCAAGATGATATTAATGTTAGGTATATTAGGCGGTTATCACACTGCGCCGCGGAGCGCGGGGCGACAGATTTAATAATTGTATGCAAATACCTCAGTTTGTATAGAAAACACGCGAGGCACTTCACACTGACAACGCGTCCGCGCGCGTGATTTTTTATATGAAAATCACGCGGCACAGTGTGATAACCGCCTTATTCTACTGTTATTATCTGAATAAAAAGATAGATGATACATTTATTTCAAATAATTTCAATATTTGGCACAAATACATAGTTTTTAACTATTATTTAAACTGCAAATAATTCATAAAAATAAAAGAAACGTGACCTGATTTAATAACAAATTTAAAGAAAAAATAATGAATGAAGGCATATGAGAAATTTTGTGTAAATTTTATCGCGTGCGCATATTTTAACTGACTTTCCTTCTTCATAATATCACAGTAGAATCTCTTCACCAATCTTCTCATACAATAAATGAATTTCACGTGAAACCCAAAATTCGTTAAATGATATGTATTTGTGAGAAAAAAAACCTTTTATGAAGCTTTAAATAATTTCGTTATTTAATTTTCGTTTTTACATTTATTATTTTCTTCATTTCTTATTTTTTCGGCATTGTCCAACCACTCACCGGTCTGTGATGTTAATTAAAATAACTTCAACTCGCGTAAATAATCTTGATACTTGTCAACAACTTAGCCGCTGAAAACCATTGTGTAGGATATTTATTAGAACGGTCCATACACCTACTCTTACTTTGTCTTGCTCGTTTTTATATGTTATATGCTTGCTCGTTGTGTATGTTGTTTATTTAATATTGCTTATCAATTTTTTCAATATTCTTCTATATTATTATTGCGCTTTAACAAACAATTTATTTACTTTTGTCATGATTTGCTGTTTTGGGGTGACCATGATTCAAGAACCAAATCTGAATAACCAATAACAACCAAAACTCATGTTGAACTTATTTAATAAATGCAAGTAAAAAAATATCTTTAGATAAGTACTTTGAAATTATAAAGGAGAATAGAGAAAACAAATAATGGGAAAATAATACAAATAAAAAGTATAATAACAAAATATTTAATAATTACGTTATAATAATTATTATCATCGTAATTTACCATACACACATCACACTATCAGTTTATATCACGGCATTTGTACTGACAAAAAACGAATACTCAATAGTAACACTTCGTAGTCCAGACAATAACGCATTAACGTTATTTCGTTATTTTTAAAATCAAAACAAGTATTTTATAAGCATTAGAATTGAAATTCGAATACAGATCTGAAAACATAGTTTATGAAACTCATACAGCATTTGTGTAGTAACGTATGCGAATTAGAATTCTATTGCATCAAAAATAAGTCTCCAAGCTGTAATAAATTGAAACTGACAATCGACTTTCCTGCTCACTTACTCGCACTCATTACGAAATAAGTGCGAAAGAGAGGCATACATATGACAAACAGTTGTTTTTTCAAATGCGACAATATTTCACGAGAAACTGGTCACACGTTAATCGCTGTCAATGAAAAAAATCAAAAAATAATTGAAAAAATAGTAAGAAAAGAAAATGTGTGACAGTATGATGTTTTAATTTAGTGTGTATGGTGTTAAATTCGTATGGTTTTTTGTAATTTTTAAACTAAATTTACTTCTTTGGCGTTTTATGATATGTTTGCTAAACTTTTGTAGCTTGAAAGGGATTACCGCGTAACCAGTATTTTATATCATACAATATGTTAACTAACGAAAGACATTGTTTTTAATACGCAGAACTAGCTAGATGATCCAAAGAATATCAAAAAATTAAATAAACAAAAATGTTCAAATTTTAAAATACCACAAAAAAACTTACGTAAAATACAACACCCTGTGTAAGCTTACTTTCGCTTATAGTTGTAAAATAGCTATTTCGCGCCACTATTTTGGTTTTAAAAAAGGTGTTATGAATAAAAATATGTTAAGATTTAAAGGAACCTCTTTCGTTAGTTAACATACTGTATATTTTTGTAATAGCAGTATCAGAACATAAATAAAGTACATATTTAAATTACGTATGTCCATCACAACAAAGTTTTTGTAAATCCAACATTTTCACTGTAGTTGCCTGCGACGACTTTAACGAAAATATAGCTTTCGTATCGTTTTATATTTCACAACGTATCATTGCTTCTCTCGTATCACATAATAATAGCATACCGGTATATAACCGTTATTTGTTGTCTTTTCTTCTGTTTGGCCACGATTGTACACTCTAAGGTAACTACGGAATAGTGTCTTTTTCACGCACGTGCTTCAGTTCAAAGTTTTTGGCATCAACACGCACACTTAATAACGGTATTTGGAACCGTTATCCGTTATCGCTTTCACGAAACATTAATTTGGCCTCGAAACGCTTTTGAATCACCGTATTTACCGATATCGAAATCACTAACGGCATTCTCGCGTCACAATTTCACAAACGTTATTTCGAATATCGTTATTCTGAATACGTTTTCACTCGCGGCAACGTTATTCGCGCACGCTGTAACGTTATCTGGTCCAACGATAGCGGCGTATCGTTTATTTCTCGTCCGTCTTCAGGGTCTGTGGCAGGGCCGCCTTGGAGGCGATGTCAACGGTGACCGACTGGCTGATGGTAGCCAGTGAATGCTCTGAGGAGGGCTCGGTGAGGATCCGCAGGGAGGACACCTTAGCCCGCTGGTACGCTGATACGGTGTTCATGCCGAGGAATCTGTAAGTAAAGGAGAGTTATGAACATTCAACATTATTATTCAGTCGATAACTTGACTTAACGGCGTGGTATCATCTGCACTGATATAACGGTATCGTAGTAGCATCATTGCTACGAGCTACGCACTGTGCGAGCGCTACGAGCGCAGCCACTGATATCACGTCGACGTAGCAACATCGCTACGAGATATATGTGCTACGAGTGTAGCACTAAGATTGCATCTTGAGCTGAAGGCAGTATAGCAGCACCTATGTATTTCCCCAGTTATTATTTATTGTACCGCCGCGCTACGAACCATGTCAGTGCTACGACCTGAGTATCTTCTGTCTGCATCGTTGTTTATTGCCCACTGACTAAACGGTGTCGTAGCATCATGGCTACGAGCCCTGTAGCGACAACGCTACGGCCCATATCAGTGCTACGAGTGTAGCCTTACCTTACGGCGACGTAGCACACCAACAGCGCGGCGCCGGCACCAAGTACGCGAGGTACCGGCGAGGCGCACAGCTGCGCCACGAGCCAGGCCGCCGCGCCCGCGCCGCACATGCAAGCGACGGCCAGCGCTGTGCGCAGCCAGTGCGCGCACGTGAAGCTATGAGCGGTCACTGATCTGACGGCGGCGAAGCAACAGCGCTACGACCCATGTAAGTGCTACGAGAGCCTGTGTATCTCTCACGCTGTTTCGCTTACTAAGGCACTAACCTGAAGATGACGTACCAAGAACGCTACGAGCCTTGCGAGTGCTACGACGAGTGCAGAAGTACTCGTAGCTGTTCATCGGTCAGTCGTGACTTAACGGAGTCGTAGCGTTATAGCTACGAGCGACACAAGTGCTACAAGCGGTCGCTGACCTTACGGCGACGTAACGTAGCCGTGCGAGTGCTACGAACATTGAACTAAGATCTGTCGTCGCTTTGCCTGCTACGGCATTGGCCTGGGGGCGATGAGTAGAGGGGTAGTAAGAAAGAACGCTACGAACCATATTAGTGCTACTAGAGCCAGTGTGTATCTCACGTCGCTTCGCCATCTAAGACACTAACCTGACGGCGACATAGTAAGAAGGCTACGAACGAAGGAGTCGTAGCATCATCGCTAAGAGCTCCATAGCAGGGCTGCTACGAGCCGTGCGAGTGCTACGAGCGGCCCACTGACTTGTCCTCGCCGTAGCAGCGACGCTACGAACGATATCAGTGCTACGAGTGTAGAATTAAGATTACAGCCTTACCTTACGGCGACGTAGCACACCAATAATGCAGCGCCGGCGCCAAGTACGCGAGGTACCGGCGAGGCGCACAGCTGCGCCACGAGCCAGGCCGCCGCGCCCGCGCCGCACATGCAAGCGACGGCCAGCGCTGTGCGCAGCCAGTGCGCGCACGTGAAGCCGCGGTCCCACTCCACCCTAAAATAATAAGTTTATTACTCCACTAGCTTTTGCTCGCGGCTTCACCCGCGTGAAATTTCGTTTGTCACAGATCGTCATAAATTATAGCCTATATGTTATTCTGGGTTATAAACAATAATACTGTAAAGTTTCATCAAAATCCGTTCAGTAGATTTTACGTGAAAGAGCAACAAACATCCAGACATCCAAACTTTCACATTTATAATATTAGTAGGATAGTAGGATGTTACAGCAGGAAAGCGCTGGACATAGGCCGCTACCAACCGGGCAACATGGAAAGCATTGGGGGAGGCCTATGTTCAGCAGTGGACGTCCTGTGGCTGAGATGATGACTCAATGTTGTTTCAAGTCCGATTTTAAGCCAGTCTGAGAGACGGACGAATAAGAAATATGACAAAGCGGCAAGGTTAAGATAACACAGGATAAAATAAGATTTCATTTCAATTTACATACCTGTTGGTTTCCTGCACGATGTAGGGCGTGTTGCAAACTTTGCATTTCAGGCCATCAGGTGTCGATGCACTCTGAAAAAAAAATGCAAAAATATTATTATTTGATATGAGAATTTGAATGAAGTATGTTGGTGACAAAGAGAGCTAATATCAGGCCTTCTGTCTGACCAGCGCGGGGGTTCAGGCCAAATTCTTCATGCCTCTGGTAAATTAGAGAGGGTCGTGCGTGCTTCTGCAATGGTGACTAGGGTTTGTACCCGGGTAATCCCGGAACCGAAAGAACCGGGAAAACCCGGGTTTTTTCGACAGCTTAAGAACCGGGTTTTAAAAATTCAAAACCCGGTTCTTTCGGTACTTTCGGGTTTTGCATATTTATCTAAAAATCTGTTATAGGTATTAGGCATGAGTCGTAACAAGAACATTGCGAACGTATAGAGAACCTAAAGATATCAGATTAGCTACTAATAAAGTTTACCTACTTATTGGTTTTGTATTTTGTTTTTTTTATGAGATATGTAAATATTTTAAGCATTTTTCTTACATTTTTTTAAAATCACTGGCATATTTTTGTTTGCGCTTACGCTGCGACAGGTTATACAGAAGATTGACAAGTATAACTTGCCACTATGCTTGGCGTTCGTGGACTATGAGAAGGCCTTCGATTCGATTGAGACTTGGGCAGTGTTACAATCTCTCCAGCGGTGCCGTATTGACTATCGGTATATCGCTGCTGAAGTGCTTGTACAAAAACGCCACCATGTCGGTCCGAGTACAGGAGCAGAGCACGAGGACGATTCCTCTGCAGTGAGGCGTAAGGCAGGGAGATGTTATATCTCCTAAACTGTTCACCACAGCATTGGAAGACGCTTTCAAACTCCTTGAATGGAAAGGATTCGGCATAAACATTAATGGCGAGTACATCACTCACCTTCGGTTTGCCCACGATACTGATTGTGGTCATGGCAGGCAGAATCGTTGTAAGATCTTGGCACAATGCTCAAAGACCTTAATCGAGTTTCCTAACAGGTAGGCCTGAGGATGAATATGGACAAAACAAAGCTTATGTCCAATGTCCATGTTGCGCCCTACCCAGTTTCGGTTGGGAGCTCAATCCTCGAGATTGTTGACGATCCAGCTAGGTAGGTCCAATTTCGAAAAGGGAGTCAATCGTCGAATCCAACTGGGCTAGGCAGCGTTCGGGTAACTACGCAACATCTTTTCATCCAAAATACCCCAGTGCCTGAGGACGAAAGTCTACAACCAATGTGTGTTACCAGTGATGACTTATGGCTCGGAAACGTGGCCTCTCACTATAGGCCTTATACAGAAGCTCAAAGTTGCACAGCGTGCTATGGAGAGGGCTATGCTCGGTGTTTCTTTACGAGATCGAATCAGAAATGAGGAGATCCGTAAATGAACTAAAATAGCGACTTTAGTTCATTTACGGATCTCCTCATTTCTATGTCAGCGGATTCAGCGGACATAGCCCGACGCGGACGCAGAACTGACGGCCGATGGGGCAGGAAGGTCCTGGAATGGAGGCCGCGTACCGGAAAACGCAGCGTGGAACGTCCACCCACAAGGTGGACCGACGACATCATAAAGGTAGCAGGGAAGCGCTGGACGCAGGCCGCTACCAATCGATCAACATGAAAAGCATTGGGGGAGGTTTATGTTCAGCAGTGGACGTCCTATCCTATGGTTTAAAATTAAATGATGATGATGATGATATTTATGTGTGAGAGTTGGCAACACTCCTTCTCCTTTATTTGCTTTGCATCTGACAGTCAATATATAAATAGTCAAATATATCGATAAGTTGGATGAAAAAGACTGATTGTGGTAACTCAATTGAAAACTAATTATTTTACTTTTTTTTATTTTTGGGAGTATAGAATTTAATAAAAATAGAAAAATATTGTAAATCATGTTTGTTGATTATTCCTAGTCTATTCAAAGAAGTGTTATTTCAATAAAAAAAACATAATCAAAATATTGTTTTTTTGGAACCGAAAGAACCGAAAAAACCGGGGCTCCCGGTTCTTATGACCACCAGACCCGAAAAACCCGGTTCCTATCACTCGCCAGTGGCGCCAACTGGCTCAAATACGACAACTTGATGGTCATAGCAATGTGTTCCGTTTTTGGGCATACTGCTGCGACACCGGCCCCGCCCTCTTGTCACATCTACCTGTAGTTTCTGTGATCTGTGTTGATGGTACATACCCCAAGCATCCAGCGACGCAGGCACCACAGCCAATTGATTTTAGCAATCCTACGAGCTATGTCGGTCACTTTAGTTCTCCTGCGGATCTCCTCATTTCTGATTCCATCACGCAGGGAAACTCCGCCCTTTGGGTGACCTTGAGCCTTCTTATGAGGCCCATAGTAAGCGACCACGTTTCAGATCCTTATATCCGTATACCAGGTACACACCTCAACCAGCCAGCGGCGCAGGCACTCTGTTTTTGGGCATATTGCTGCGACACCGGCCCCGCCCCCTTGTCCCATCTCCCTTTAGTTTCTGTGTTCTGTGGTCTCACCTTAGGTCAGCTACCTTATTTGCTATTAACTAGTCGCCGCCACTAGTCAGAGGGTTAGGAAGGAGGAGGAGGGTCACAAATGGCTCAAATATGACAACTTGATACAGCTGCGTGATTGGTGGATTTTGACATATCTGTCAAAGTCATGTCAAAAATAACCAATCATGCAGCATTTGGACGTCGCTTCTACGTATTGCCATCTGGCGGATTTTTCATTCGCGAAAACCCTCATTATGTTGCTGTAGCGACTGAGCGACGGGCGGCCACAGTGAGTGTGCGAGCGAGCGATAAAGATGGGGTCATTGTACGAAATCTGTCTGCTCGGCGACCGAACTTTAGTCACTGCCATTGGTCAGTGAGTTCTTATCACTCGCCAATGGCGACAGACATCTTGATGGTACATACCTCAACCAGCCAGCGGCGCAGGCACTCGTGGTGCACCGCGGACACGTCTCCGGTGCAGCGGCAGGGCCGGATGAGCGGCTCGTCGCGCCCGCTGTCGTAGCAGATCCAGCAGTCGCGCGCCGAGCCCACGCTGCCCACTAACTAAAGGCCGGTCGCCAAGCAGATACAATTTCGTACAATAACCCCAAGCTAACCATCCTTATCGCTCGCGCGTAATGAGGGTTCTCGCGAATGAAATATCCGCTAGATGGCGGGACGTGGATGTGGGGTCTGACTGCTGCGTGATTGGTGGATTTTGACATATCTGTCAATGTCATGTCAAAAATAAGCAATCATGCAGCATTTGGACCTCGCGTCTACGTATTGCCATCTGGCGGATTTTTCATTCGCGATAACCCTCATTATGTTGCTGTAGCGACTGAGCGACGGGCGGCCACAGTGAGCGTGCGAGCGAGCGATAAGGATGGGGTCATTGTACGAAATTCTGTCTGCTCGGCGACCGGACTTAAGTCACTGCCATTGGTCAGTAACTCACTCCTATCATTCGCTAGTGGCGCCAGACATCTTGATAGTACATACCTCAACCAAAGGGAAGAGCCTGGATGCGGGCAGCGCAGGACCGTTCGTTGTGGAAAGCCTTGGAGGAGGCCTTTGTCCAGCAGTGGACGTCATTTAGCTAAAACGAACGAACGAACCTCAACCAGCCAGCGGCGCAGGCACTCGTGGTGCACCGCGGACACGTCTCCGGTGCAGCGGCAGGGCCGGATGAGCGGCTCGTCGCGCCCGCTGTCGTAGCAGATCCAACAGTCGCGGGCCGAGCCCACGCTGCCCACTAGTGAGTCGGTCTCCACATTCTGCTGGAGAGAAAGAAGGTTTAGTGGAAGGGTAGTGAACATGAGCCGATAAGAATGCCCTGCTGTCGGTTTCCAGTTCCACATTCTACTGGAAATAGGAATCACTTTTTTATGGCTATAGGGATCACTTAGTATTCTTTGTACGTGTTTAGAACACGAAAGGAATTTGTGAGTGTCCGTTTTTAATATGGATCATTCAAAAAGGATTGATTCTATTGCTTAACACAACTTAGATCAACACCCCGTATATCATCGCGCTGCCTAGTGCCTACCTGTGTCTGCTAGAGACAGGGTAAATTGATATCAGCTGATAGAAAACAAGTATCACTGTACATGTAAAGAGCCAGAAAGAAGTCTACATATCATGCTGCCTACTGGCGAGTAGGCAGTCTAATGTTGCTGTTGCGAGTATAAAGCTTAATTTGGAAAGGGTGGTTTTTACACAGCCTATGTTTAACATACATACTTCCATATCATAGCCTTATAATCTCTTTTACATCTTATATTTATTTTAAAAATATCAAGTTAGTACGTCCACTTAAAAATATGTTAGTTATTAGTTTTAAAAAGTTAAAAAATACGTACGATTGGACGTAGGAGCAAGAAATCCTTGACATATTTTACAAAAATAATCCAAATACTGGTGTTACAAAATTAAATTATACAGCCGTATAAAAAATCAACTATACACTATCCAACCTTCTTTCCCAACTCACCTTATTCCCGCTCTCTATGCTCGGTCGCGAAACAATGGCCGCCCGAGCCAGCGTCCATAGACACCACCGCCAGTACCGGAGCACGGCTAGAACGAAACGCGCCTTGTCCAGCCACGGCAGGTGACGGAATACCACTAGCTGAGGAACGAAACGTTAACCTAGCGACAACGGTTTTATGCCATGACCATTTAAAAAAATGTGTTAAGTGATTAATCTGTGACTGCTCAAAATGGCGAAAAAAATTTTTTATTGATACTCAGCTGTTAATTTAAAACTCTAGCCCCTTTAATAATAAAGTTAAACCTAGGATGTACCTTATAGTTCATTCAACTTATGATGGTGATTTAGACAGATAAAACGTTTCGTTTTATGATTATAACTTTCTACGAATAAAAATATTGAGTTGTAAAAATCAATTACTTTTGTGTGTTTTCATCCTTCCAAAATATCAATCACTAATCTTTCTCAATTAACCTAAACAAGAATTCCTAATTATTTATTAGTTTATTATTTAGAAAAATTTGAGAAAAAATATTAAATGAATTGCTTCTGCGTTAGTCGGAACTTTTGCTCATAGGGATGGGACATAAACAATCGCAATAAATCAGTAATCGGCATGGTGGTCATCTTACCATCGAATCACGATTATTATCTCAGGCAGGTCAAAGCTAAGTCAGTACGTGTGCGTTTGCCTTTGATGACGGTTTTGTTTTATGCGATTTCTCCACGTATTGTTTGTTATTGTTATTTTGATGTTTTATTGAATAAAATGCATATATTTAATTCTTTGTGATTTATTTTGTACCACTAAGAATATTCACGTTTATTCCATTTCCAGATAGTTCAAATTCATAGATATAATTTTGATCAAGATTAAAAATCAAAGAAATAAAAGGCGATTAGATTTCTATAGAAAATATTCTCGATTCTAAAAAATATCGATTAGGTTTATAAGGAGCGCCTCACTAAATAGAACTGTCATAATCACCATCTTACGCTGAATGGACTATAGATTAAAATGACATTTCCATACTATATGACAATTTAAGCCAGAGTTCAACTAGGGTGTAACTTTAGGGGTAGGAAATAGACAAATAATTTTGAATTTACATTACTTTCAGCAAAAAGATTTACCATAAACAAGAATGACAAACATGGACGAATGGCCTTTTCAAGTTAGAGTTTTTTCTATGCATTTTATGCATGCTGAATGCGCGTGTACAAGGTCTTTTTGACCCGTAATATACCATTAAGCCAATGTTTAAGAGCCCGAAGCTTTGCAACAAAATACAGTAAATGACTTTTATAATAAATATTTATGAGATTTCTGTAAGAGTGTTGCCTGTTTAACTAGTAAAACATTTCTTATTTTGCTTTGAAATTTTGTAGACACTTTATTAATACATTTTGAATGTGCATTTGACCCACAGATAATGAGAGGAAGCGTCGGCGTAAGCTTGAAGACTCAACAACCCTTGACACCTGACAAAAATGATGAATCCTGTGTAGGACGACATTAACAACACTGAGCACGAATTGGACTCGTTCATACCACGAGGATCCCAATCTGACAAGACACCGATCGCGACATGTTGTGCTGACGACTAACACTACTGTGGTGACACTAGCACAGAACTGTGAAGATACTTGCACAGAACTGTGGTGACTCTAGCACAGAACTGTGATGTTACTAGCACAGAACTGTGATGTTACTAGCACAGAACTGTGATGTTACTAGCACAGAACTGTGATGTTACTAGCACAGAACTGTGATGTTACTAGCATAGTACTGTGGAAATACCAGCACTGTGATGTCTATCTCGCATTGGCAGAGTTTAAGCGGAGCCAAAGCGGGCGTTTTTGCGTTCATGTAAACGCACGGATGTAACACGAAATAGTCTTAAGTCGGTGCCAAAATGACACGTAATTCATGCTAAAATCTAGATTACAAGCGTAACTATGGATGGACTGGTGTATTTTTTTAACATTACTAGGCTTCAATTACTGAACAGACTTCTTTTATATTTGCTTTAACTGACCCACATTATTTACAGCATACATAATATTTTCATACGTTTCAATTTATCCGCCCACGCCCTGCGTCAAGCTCTGCATTAAACCCTTCGTGCATTAACACGACTGACATACGACAGCGAGAAATATAGACCTTTTGTTTACAAACAACGCAATGAAGCCAACGACCTGAACCGAGATAAAGTGGAATATTTATAGTACTTACGCGTGTTGGAGAACTTTGGTACAACTAGACGGCGGTCAAGCTCTTATTTCTTGTGGGTTAAGAGCTATCAAGGTCAAACTTACTGCAGTTAGATTATTTTGGATCGCAATGATCCAACAGATGACTTTTGTCTATACTGTTTTTTTTTACCTTTGATTCTTGTTAAGCTAAATAAATTGAGTCATAGTCCGCTTCAACATCGTCAGCTGCTAGATTCACTCGATCAGCAGGAGTGCAGGTGAGCTATGAGCACCAGTACCCGAGGTGCCCGACACAAATGTCGGGGTGGCATGCCAAGAGTTCTGCGAGGGTCGCATTGTCCAGCTGCTTGGACAGCAGCAGGGTTGAGGAGCTACAGTCTCTCAGGAATGCAGCTGGCGCGACTTGAGACACAGTCGCTTGGGCGGCAGGAGTGCAGGTGAGCTGTGAGCAGTACCTTGGTGTCGGGATGGCGCGCCAGGAGTTCCGCGAGAGTCGCATCGTCCAGCTGCTTGGACAGCAGCCGGCGCGGCTTGAGACACAGCCTCAGTCGCTCGGACGGCAGGAATGCAGTACCTTAGTATCGGGGTCGTATCGTCCAATCGCTTGGACAGCAGCAGGGTTGAGGAGCTACAGTCGCTTAGGCGTCATATGTGAGCAGCAGTACCTTGGTGTCGGGATGCCGCGCCAGTAGTTCCGCGAGGGTCGCATCGTCCAGCTGCTTGGACAGCAGCCGGCGCGACTTGAGACACAGTCTCTCAAGAGTGCAAGTGAGCTGTGAGCAGTACCTTGGTGTCGGGATGTCGCGCCAGTAGTTCTGCGAGAGTCGCATCGTCCAGCTGCTTGGACAGCAGCCGGCGCGGGTTGAGACACAGTCGCTTGGACGTTGCACAGCAGCCTCAGTCGCTCCGGCGGCAGGAATGCAGTACCTTAGTAACGGTGTCGTATCGTCCAGTTGCTTGGACAGCAGCAGGGTTGAGGAGCTACAATCGCTTAGGCGTCATATGTGAGCAGCAGTACCTTGGTGTCCGGATGTCGCGCCAGGAGCTCTGTGAGGGTCGCATCATCTAATTGCTTGGATTGCAGTTGAGGAGCTATAATCGTTTGGGCGCATCGTCCAGCTGCTTGGACAGCAGCAGGGTTGAGGAGCTACATTCACTCAGGAGTGCAGGTGAGCTGTGAGCAGTACCTTGGTGTCGGGTTGTCGCGCCAGGAGTTCTGCGAGTGTCGCATCGTCCAGCTGCTTGGACAGCAGCCGGCGCGGGTTGAGACACAGTCGCTTGGGCGTTGGACAGCAGCAGGGTTGAGGAGCTACAGTCTCTCAGGAGTGCAGGTGAGCTGTGAACAGTAACTTGGTGTCGGGATGTCGCGCCAGTAGTTCTGCGAGTGTCGCATCGTCCAGCTGCTTGGACAGCAGCCGGCGGTTGTAGACACAGTACACAGTCGCTGGGATACCAGGAGTGCAGGTGAGCTGTGAATAGTACCTTGGTGTCGGGATGGCGCGCCAATAGTTCTGCAAGCGTCGCATCGTCCAACTGCTTGGACAGCAGCCGGCGCGACTTGAGACACAGTCACTCAGGAGTGTAGGTGAGCTGTGAGCAGTACCTTGATGTCGGGGTGGCCGCAGCAGTAGTTCTGCGAGGGTAGCATCGTCCAGCTGCTTGGACAGCAGCAGGGTTGAGGAGCCACAGTCTCTCAGGAGTGCAGGTGAGCTGTGAGCAGTACCTTGGTGTCGGGATGGCGTGCCAGTAGTTCCGCGAGCGTCGCATCGTCCAGCTGCTTGGACAGCAGCCGGCGCGACTTGAGACACAGTCTCTCAAGAGTGCAAGTGAGCCTTGAGCAGTACCTTGGTGTCGGGATGGCGAGCCAATAGTTCCGCAAGTGTCGCATCGTCCAGCTGCTTGGACAGCAGCCGGCGCGGGTTGAGCAGCCACAGTCGCTCGGGCGCCATGGAGTTCCACAGCACGCACGGGAACCATAGCGCGACGCCGATCTCCGCCAGGCGGAACACCACGTCGTGCCAGTTGCGGGAGACCACTGGGACTCTGGGGAAAAAGAGAAAGATTAGTAAAGAAAATAAGCCAGATACTTGATACTGTGAGATTTTGAAAACTTGAGCTGGTGAGGTTTGTTACAACCCTTGTTAATTTTGTCTCAAAATACTCTCACCGATTAGGTCTTTCAGAACTCGCTAAAATTTTCATGAGCCCGTAGCAAAAAACACCTTATATTTAAACACCCATTTTAATGCAATTCATTCTTTCACCCATTCGGCATTTGAGACGACACGTTTCGATAGACTTGAGATTAGTCCAAAGCTTGACAAATCGCAAGAGCGCGACTGGTTCTCACACTCAACATCACCATTACAGCCACTACTGCGCCTAGAGCGCCAATAATTATAATCAAGTTCGCCGACTAGATACTTTTATAAACCTTCGAAGATGAGGTCGACAATAATGACTGAGTTTCTTGCGCTGCTTCTTCTGAACACTGGCTCACATTATCGTCTGAAACAGTAGTAGTCTACTCACTTGGTCTTCCAGAACTCGCCGAGCGTCTCGGAGGCGAGGAAGCCGGCGATGAGGATGAGCATCAGCGCCTGGCTGTGCAGCCCCAGCCGCGACTGGTGCAGCTGCGACTGGTTCACCGAGCGCGGGCCCACCGAGCCATTATATACTCATCATCATCATCAGCTAATAGTCTATTGGTACTTAAGCCAATAAGGAGCGCCACAAAGCAAGATCTCCCGCTTTGTTATTCAGCCGCTGCCGTTCTTGGTATACTCACTCAATCCATCATCATCATCACATCAGCTAATGGCAGTCCACTAGCACTTAAGTCACTAAAAAGCAGCGCCACAAGGCAAGATCTTTGACTCAATCCATCATCATCATCATCACTTCAGCTAATGGCAGTCCACTGGCACTTAAGTCACTAAGGAGCGTCATTAAGAAGCAGGAAGTGGAGTCATTAAGGAGCGCCACAAAGCGCGACCTTCCGCTTTTTTATCCAGTTGCTGCCGTTCTTGGTACACTCACAAACTCATCATCATCACTAATTCAGCTCATGGTAGTCAACTGGCACTTAAGTCACTAAGAAGTGTCATTAAGGAGCGCGAAACAGAATCATTTAGGAGCACCACAAAGCACGATCTCTCGCTCTTTTTCATCCAGCTGCTGAAAGCTATTTTCTTGCAACAGACAACCTCAAGTATCGAAGAATAGGGATGGCTCAGATATCCAGATCGACGTCTTAAGCTACCTTTACGGAGACGCCGTCTCCATTAGAAAATTTCCTGGACATTTCGCCGGGATTCCAGAAGACACTCAATAATTGAGAAAAAAGCAAAAGATACTTTTGTAAACTTTCGAAAAAGAGGTTGACAATAGTGACTGAGTTTCTTGCGCTGCTTCTTCTGAACACTGGCTCACATTATCGTCTGAAACAGTAGTAGTCTACTCACTTGGTCTTCCAGAACTCGCCGAGCGTCTCGGAGGCGAGGAAGCCGGCGATGAGGATGAGCATCAGCGCCTGGCTGAGCAGCCCCAGCCGCGACTGGTGCAGCTGCGACTGGTTCACCGAGCGCGGGTCCACGGAGCCATTGTATATACTCATCATCATCATCAGCTAATAGTCTACTGGAACTTAAGCCAATAAGGAGCGCCACAAGGCAAGATCTCCCACGTTTTTATCCCATCCGCTGCCGTAGTTGGTACACTCACATACCAATCATCATCACTGCAGCTAAAGGCAGTCCACTGGCACTTAAGTCACTAAAAAGGAGCGCTGCAAAGCAAGATCTCCCGCTTTTTTATCCACCCGCTGCTGTTGGTGGTACACTCACTCAATCCATCATCATCATCATCATCACTTCAGCTAATGGCAGTCCACTGGCACTTAAGTCGCTAAGAAACGTCATTAAGGAGCAGGTAGAGGAGTCATTTAGGAGCACGAAGAGGAGTAATTTAGGAGCGCCACAAAGCACGATCTCTGGTTTTTTAGATCCAGCTACTGCGAGTTATCTTCTTTCAACAGAGGACCTAAAGAAGTCTCATAGCACAGACGTCACTTAGATGTCCAGGTCGACGTCTTAAGTTACCTTTGCCGAGACGTGATCTCCATTCGAGAGCATCTATCCTTCACCTGCCTCCTGTCGTCCAGAACACTCACTTGGTCTTCCAGAACTCGCCGAGCGTCTGAGCCGAGCGAGCGAGGCTGAGCAGCCCCAGCCGCGACTGGTGCAGCTGCGACTGGTTCACGGAGCGCGGGTCCACCGAGCCGTTGTATATACTCATCATCATCATCAGCTAATAGTCTATTGGAACTTAAGCCACCATTGAGGAGCGTCACAGGGAAATATCGTCCGCTTTGTAATTCAGCCGCTGTCGTTTTTGGTACACTCACAAACTCATAATCATCACTTCAGCTAATGGTAGTCCACTGGCACTTAAGTCACTAAGAAGCGTCATTAAGGAGCACGAAGCAGAATCATTAAGGAGCGCCACAAAGCACGATCTCTCGCTCTTTTTCATCCAGCTGCTGAAAGCTATCTTCTTGCAACAGACAACCTCAAGTATCGAAGAATAGGGATGGCTCAGATATCCAGATCGACGTCTTAAGCTACCTTTACGGAGACGCCGTCTCCATTCGAAAATTTCCTGAACATTTCGCCGGGATTCCAGAAGACACTCAATAATTGAGAAAAAAGCAGTAGATACTTTTGTAAACCTTCGAAAAAGAGGTTGACAATAGTGACTGAGTTTCTTGCGCTGCTTCTTCTGAACACTGGCTCACATTATCGTCTGAAACAGTAGTAGTCTACTCACTTGGTCTTCCAGAACTCGCCGAGCGTCTCGGAGGCGAGGAAGCCGGCGATGAGGATGAGCATCAGCGCCTGGCTGAGCAGCCCCAGCCGCGACTGGTGCAGCTGCGACTGGTTCACCGAGCGCGGGTCCACGGAGCCATTGTTGTCGGCCAGGTCGGTTTGCACGCCCTGCGAGGAGAGAAAGGTCAGGGTTAGGGCACATAGAGATATGTCAATAACCCTCCTTGTGGCGCAGTCGGGTAAAAAATACTATGGCTGGATTCCACCATGTCAAACTCCATACAAAATACACCGGTTATCGTTATAGTTACCGTTAAAGTTAGGTGGTGCAGCTCAGGCTATGCCAACAGAAAGGTATCGGTATCAGTAGACACAACTAAAGGCCTCTTTCACCATCTCCAAGTAAAGTTCCAATTAGTGACTTCCTGATTACCATTACAGTAAAATAAGAAGTATTTTGACATTATTCAGAGATGGTGAAATTCAATAAATTGCTACTCGTGACTTTAAGCAACGAATAGCCTACTTGACACTACTCGGAAACGGTGAACGTGGTCCTTCGATTTCGGTTCCTTATGCCCGTTTTCACCATTAATCCCTAATTTTTAAGTGATCCCTATGAAAACTAAATTCCTGTTATGTGTTACCATAGGGGTCACTTAAAAATTAGAGATTGATGGTGAAAACGGGCATTAGACTCCTTAAATTGATTCAATACTTCATTAGGACCATCAACCAGCTCTCGGTCACAGTAGCTAGTGCTGTAGAATCGGTCGCGCTCGCGTCGCGCATTCGAAAATCAAATTAGTCATAATATGGTTTCGGTGTAGTAGATTAGGAAAACCCCATTGCACTCTTCCCGTGGATCTCGTAAGAGAAAAGGAAAATTTTCTTACGTCAGGTCTTACCAACTGCCCAACATGCAACAACATGTTGGTGATGGTCGTGTTTCCGGCTTGGAAACTAAATGACCTGATGAAGTAACAGGTTCACGCCTGCGCTGTGAAACGTAGAGGTCCTTGGCGAAGGTTATGGTGAAGGTGTGGACTGACCTGCTTGGTGACAAGCGTGTCCCTTGCTTCGTCGCCCTCGTCCGCGGTGGAGGGCCCGGGCCGCGGGGATATCACCGTGCACACTTTAGTTTCCTTCAGGAACTCGCCGCGGAGCTGCAACAAAAACTCTTTATAAAGGTGGGTCTATGTTAGAGAGAGCACGAGTTGAGCGCAAGATGAGCCGCTCTACTCGCGGTATCAAGTGTGAACGTACAACGAGCCTACAACAATCGCTCAACTCGAACATAGTAGAGCGCGATGCAAATCTCTGTGTTCGCGCGCCGACCATCACTAGCGCCGGGTGCGCGCGCAGACAGTGACATGTGCCGGCTGCGCGCACAGCCTCGGCCTGCACTCATCAAGGCGACTCCGCGCAAGGCGGAGCCATTTTAATATATTATTGTATTATTATAAACAAAGTGGAGTAAACTGCATGCGCAATTTCATTGTTAACCGGCTCCCGAACACTATGTGTTCGTCAAGTAACCGTCAACAAGTGGAGCACAGTCTAGCAAGAGCCAAACGCTCGAAGCACGTTCGATCGAGGCTCTCGGTCCACACTACACGAATTTTGGCTAGGGTCGTACTCCGCTCGGCTAGTCAAGCGTAGATCCACCTTAATCCGAATAGCTGGGAACTGGAATTCACTACCTGTTAATATCTGTCTCAACTCTCAAGCGCTACGATCGCTCATCGTTGAACGCTCATCATCTGAACGTGGCCTTACTGGTTAGACTGCATCTCATCATCCTCAGGTATGACTGCAATCAAATACGTGCCGGTTGCAAAATCTTTTTTAAGTGAAGGGTGAGGCTGAGGAGTGTGACTACCTTTTTATATGAGTTTTTGTCGATGTAATTGCATAAAGTACACGTCGGTAAAGTTGCAGAACAAATTAAGGTAAAATTACAGTCATATCTAGTACTTGACCTTTTACTGCTATTATTACATACTAGATGAAAACCCGGCTTCGCTCGGGTGCAATTTGACTCATAATACACAATTATAGGTGCAACATGTAGATAGATGTTTCTGTAGTCATCGGTTCTCAAAGAATATTAAATATAGATTCATATAGCTTCGTTAGTTGTGTTTAACCCTCCGTGTACGAGGTGACTAAAAGTTACGTCCCGTACCAGGTGGGGTATGACACACCCCAATATACAAAGTGATAAAATTTTCATTCAACATTTTTTTAGGTGGAATTTAATATTTAATATTAATTATTTACGTATGCTAATTAGGTTTAAGAAATGCTCTGAGCTGAAAATATGTATTATTTGCATTTTTATCATAAAAAAACAAAAAGACACAATTTCCGTTGTTCTTGTAATTTAGGAATCAGTTTCCTATGTATAATTTTAAATTAGTGCCTTTAATTATGACAACCGTTTTTATTTAACAAAGTACAAGTATTTACTTATAATTTAAAAGTAAATTAAAAACTGGAAGGGTATAAATTTGTTTTGATCATCGGTTTTCAATTTACCACAATTCTGATGAAAGAAAATGAGTATGCTCAATGCATAAAATGGGAGCGTAACAATTTTATTTATTTATAAAATATGTTATTCCATTTCAGTAGCCCATAAATTGTATCACCAAGTATAAATTGTAGCCCATAAGTGTATGTTCACATACATCTTCGGATCTCAGTACTAAACTTCCAGATTCGCACTAAAAGTCATCTCATTTGACTAAAAGTGCTTGAAAATTTCAAATACCGTAAAAATCACGAAAAATAATATTTGTATTGAATTTTATTCAATTGACAAAGCTAAAAATATATAAATTACACCAAAACTGTTAGATTTTTTTTTTACTTTACTCAGTGACCTACACTATTAACTTACCTGAAAGTCATCAAATAAATCTTGTGAAGCAGCAGAAGCAGCTTTTTGCTTTTTAGGAAAAAGGTTTGATAGTGCCCGAGCCTTGTTTATTCTTAACTGCCTAATTGTTTCTAAGCCACAACACTCGCAATAATTGAAATTATCTGCAAAAATATATTACACAATTATTTATAATAAGAACCAGCCGAGCTCAAGTGGAACTTGCGCATGAAGGAGTCTATTCGGTTATCAGAAAAAACGGGGCAAAAATCGTGTCTGTTTCTGTATTTATGTTGATAACAACTCAACACAGGCTATGCATGTGGTCATTTATTATTATTTTTCGGGTTAAATAAAAAAAAAATATTAAGCCGCTTACCGAGTATAATGTATAATGTTGTCGCATTCCACACATCGACTGCACATTTGCATTTGTTTGCAGTTTCTTACAAATATTTTGCCATTGCAAAAATTGCATGTCACTGGAATTTATCACTGTGCGAAACTAAATGACATTGACATTTGAACTTCAACTTATAGATGACCCACGCTGAACTGTCCCACCAAACTCAATGACAGGGGGGCGCTACCATCGTTCAACTATGGTTTCAAACATGGCAAAAATCAAAACCAGCGATCCGGTATTGACGGTGGCGCCCCACTGTCAATGTCATGCATAGGACAGTTCAGTATTTTGGAACTATATATAGATGACCCACGCTGAACTGTCCCGCCAAACTCAATGACAGGGGGGCGCTACCATCGTTCAACTATATGGTTTCCAACATGGCAAAAATCTGAACCAGCGATCCGGTATTGACGGTGGCGCCCCACTGTCAATGTCATCGACAGGACAGTCCAGTATTTTGGAACTATAAGGTTATGGCTAATATTCTTTTTTTGTGGTTGAATCGGCCAATACCAGGTTTAAAGAAAAAACACATAACAAAGAGTATTATTATCATAAAAATCGCGAAACGCACTGATTTCCATTTATTTATGGATCGATGACAACCCAGCTTTTGGCGTTGATCGCATAGTGAGTGGATGGTGAACTACTAAAGATGGCGACAGCGGTTTGTTTGTCAATGCCATCGGAATTTAACGAAATTCTCCACTATCCGAATTTTGCAGATATATGTTGTCGACTCAAAATCGTTATTTTTTTATGCTTTGTTATTCATATAAGGTTTCGATCCAGTCTACCGTACCCCTTGACGAAATTATTAATATAGATTCTGTGCTATTACTATGTTGCATAATGTTGTGGTTTTTTAATAAATATTGTTGCATAAAATGACAACGACTTTAAACAAGCACATGCATCGCGATGTCATTAAAACGACGTATTATAAAATTAACATTCCTTATTTTATTTTATGACCTAACCAACTGAAATACTAACATAACTAAGCACTTAGAATATTAATTACTTTTTGCTAGATGTTGCAGGAAATGAAATCATGGGATGTAATGGATTTTCCGCTAAACAAACAAAATACAGTAGAACGCCGATTATCCGAACGCCGATTAACCGAATCACCAATTATCCGAATCGGTCCGAAGCGTATTATAAAAAATTAAAACCAAGTAATTTTTGATTTTTTTGTTGGAATTCGGATATATTTCAAATGAGCGTTATTGTGGCAGTTCTACAATAACGCCAAGTAGGAAACATATCTGTTTGTTAAACTAATTAAAGTGTATTCTATGTGTGACAGTTGGTTTTTCCCTATTACCAGTCTATGTCCGATTATCCGAATTTTCGATTATCCGAATCGACCCCGGTCCCAATTAATTCGGATAATCGGCGTTCTACTGTACAGTAAAAAATGTGTCCCATATGCAAGGATTCTAGTGCTTAAATACGAAAACTTTTATAAATAGGACCTGTATAACAATCTGAGAAAAATCACTTGCTCATACGGTCTAACGCATAACTGAGTCAGTGTCTAAGGCAGGGTTTCCCAAATTTTTTTTGCCAAGGAACCCTAATTGATTATACTTTTCCTAGCGGAACCCCCGTACTACTCCGCCCGCACGCCATGCCCCTCCCTTGTGCGTAAACAAGTCGGTGCGAGCGAACAACGTCGGTCACGAAACGTGGGATAATATTTTTTACGGAACCCTTGCGGCCTTTCCACAGAACCCCAGGGTTCCGCGGACCACCATTCGGGAACCGCTGGTCTAAGGTATGGGAGCGACGCAAGAGGGGTGACATTTATGATGTAACAGAACATATCTATTGGCGGATATACACTACGCAGAAATTAGCCAAGTCAAGTCAATAAAACAGTGGGGTGGGGATAAAATTCATTCATTTTTTTATCCCCTGTTTTTTTTTACTTGACTTGGCTAATTTCCGCGCAGTGTAAAAGCGCCTTATAGCACATCTGAAGTCTGGTTGACGTCTGACGTCACATAAACACCCTCCCGTGCTGCTCTCATACCTCAGTCATGGTCTCGGTTAAGTGTCAGGCTTATAAGGCCCTATCTCCCCACCAAGGCGGAGCGGAGCAGAGCGGAGAAGAGTCGTGCGGACTATTTTTCTATAGAATTTGACAGCGCGGAGCGGAGCTGTGCGGAGCAGAGGAAAATAATAAAAAACTGATTGGTTAATCAAAACACTTTTCCGCTCCGCTCTAATCCGCCTTGGTGGAAACAGGGCCTAATTGAAAAAGCACAATGCGTCTTCCAACCAAAAGTAACGAAACCGCTTTACAGTGTTTATAAATACATAACCCAATGTGTAAACGTGACATAATCTTTTTTGCAGACTGTGTCTTCGTCTGAACTGATATATTTCCGCTTCCCCAAGGTCGGTACATCAGTTCACCGCCACAATCAATGGAACCAGAAGACAAATCGACCGCACATACGCCATTAAGCTCTACAATGGCGCGTTAGACCATATAGAGACGATCCAAGGCGGCCCTATTGTCTGAGAGACCCCGCAGACTGAAGACTTTGTCGGCTGATAGTTGAAACATGTATGGTGGTATAGATCGTTTCATAATGAAGACGCGCCTCACCAATTTTTGGTCGAGGGAAGCGCGTGCAGGGAGTTTGATCCGAGCAATCCGAGCGTCATTATCGTAGTGTGCGTGTGCACAAATCGACATATCAAGCCTTACACCGATTTTTATAAATACAAATTACTAATCGGGACTATAACCCCTCATAGTAAGCTAAATATGCTTGTGTTCCGAGTGGGCTCACACTCATCACAATAGTCGAGCGGTGGTGGGATTCGAATCTAACCCACGTTCCTCGGATCTCGAGTCGGGCAGTCCGACCCTTTCACCGATCGGCTATCGTGGCTTCAAAAACCATTGGGCCAATGACAGTTAAACTTTCCCCCGGAACAAACTTGACCTTAAGGGCTATATTCCACCGGGACACCATTGCGCAAAGCTGCATACATTTTGTTGGTAGCGGCGACTGGTTGCGCCGCCATGATGTCCCGGTGAAATATAGCCCTAATTGGTTGTCAAGTTGGCGGTCAAATAGATTCTGGCTACACAGGAGTTACAACGGAGGGATTGTGGGAACGAGAGGTGGGAATAGTCCCGTAAGCCGACTAAACTATCGGCCGACTAAGTCTGTAGTCCGCGGGGACTCTAAGACGTGGCTGAAAACACTTGGCCTTGCTGTTGTTATTGGTATTTCGTATTGAAAATAAAATTACGTAGAAATAAGGCAAAGTAATTCTACGATTATTAATAGAAATAATAGTAATTTAGTAAAAACTTTAGTTTGACTGAAAAGGATACAGGAATATCCGTATTTTATATGATTAACAGCCAATCTGGGTGAATAATATTATTAAAATATAATTACTATAATTTAGGTGGTATTTTTTTCGCTTTGAATTTATTTATTTCAAATAACTTAGACTCGCTGTTCACAAAACTTGTTTGAAATATCCAGATTGACTGAAGAAAGATGGACCTGGGGGAGTTTTTGGGTGACTGGCCCGCTACAGGTAGGAAGTTTTGGAGGAACTTACTTGGCCAACGCTGCCGGTCGACACTTATTTGCAAGCCCTGGTTTTTGAAGATGCCCTTACTACAGATTGGCTTACATCCAAACTTTATTAATTGATTATATTGATACTAGCTGTTCCCGCGACTTTGTACGCGTGAAAACCCGTTTTCGCAACATTTTTCATTATTGCTCTGCTCCTATTGATCGTAGCGTGATGTTGTATAGCCTATAGGAAGGCTATGTAGCCTTCCTCGATAAATGGGCTATCTAACACTGAAAGAATTTTTTAAATCGGACCAGCAATTCCGGAGATTAGCGCGTTCAAGTAAACAAACAAACAAATTCTTCAGCTTTATAATATTAGTAAAGTATAGATATTACTTTTTGATGGTAATAAAAAGAATGTGTAAGTAAAATGTGAACATAAAATATTGCAGCACTGACCTTGAAGTAGACCTCGACCCCGTAGATGAGGAAGAAGATGACCACCACGAAGAGCAGCACCGCGTAGAAACCGTTGAACACGTGCTGGTAGAAGCTCTGTAACGATAAACGCATAATGGCTAAACTTTTTTTTGTAACTGAAAAAATCAAATTGCTTCATGTGGGAATAAAGCATCGATTTTAAAAGTTAATAAATTATTTTTAAACACTTTAGTTAAATCATAGAATTTCTGAAAAACAAGTATTGAAATCTGACTGGAACTTTGTAGGAAATACGTGAACGTGACGTCAAATATCACCCGCTCATAGTAACTTGTATGGGACTCTGCGTGTCGTTCTAACATGACCAATGACGTCATGAGATCAATAACGTCTACTACTATACTACTACTATCTTAGGTACCTATCTTTGAAATTGTTGTTAAAGAAAAGCACTGATTGATTTGATAACGCCAAGGCTACAGAGAATCAAAAAACTTTGCACCCTATTGATCCTACAGCTACAGCCCGCCATGCACGAACAGCTCGAGCGTTTATTTATTTATTTATAGGTACAGTTCATATAATACCATTTATTTAGTTAGCCTGTGATTATTATACACTGACTGCTCTTGCAATGATATTCACAACTGCTCGAGCGATTGTGGCTGCTTCGGGCGGTTGGCAGCAAGGAGGACCTGTCCGTCATTCGATTTCTCTAGTCAGTTTTCTTGTTCCGTATTTTGACGGATTCTGATCTGACGTAGTACGAGAACTGCTCTCAAAATGCATAATATTTGCTTGGTACGGATTTGTCATTCAAATCAATAACATCTCATTATTATTTACAGCCTTTGATTAAACACTGGTAGATGTAGGTATGTCACATTTATGTAAACGCGGTGCAATTTACCAACCATTTCGTTTCAAGTAGGTAATCTGCATTAAACTAATAAAACGATTACATTTAAATAATTAAATACTAAATAGGCAAATTTCCATGCACAACAATAGACAACATGACACACGATGGAAAATATTTTAGTATTTTTATAAATGTAGCGTCTACACATAGCATTGTTGAGTTTTGTATTTCTTGTTTCTTCTTCTTCCTACGCTCCCCATGCTTGGAAAGGTATGATGTTCACATATTTGTCCCTAAAGGTCATAGCAGACTTATCAACTCGGAAATGTATCAACACCTTTCGCGAGCTGTCATCGCTTTTCGCGCGCCGTCAACCGCGAGGCGAGGCGTTTACGTTACGGTGAGCATAAGTTTCATACAAAGAATACTCACCGCCTCGAGTTGATACGGTTACGATCCCTTCCCGGGTTGATTAGTGTGCTACGTCCTTTAGTCGAATTTTACGACATCCACGGGAAAAGCGGGAGCGATTCTTTATTCAACAGGAAGAATGAACAAAACGGTCTACAATTTATACATTCATTGTCGCAAGTTGTACAAATACTCGCATGTACCAAGATTCATCAACAGTACTCATCAATTATGCTGTGACTGGCTGCACAAGAATTCATATTACTGCCGTTACACAGCAAATATATACTTTCAAAGCCCGTGATAGGAATACAAACAGCGTTTATCGCTTCTATGCTGCCGATGGGGCATTGTTGTCGCAATTAAAATGATCGTTTAGGTCCACAATAACTACTTGATTAAACAAACATAATATGGCATGGCATATTTAAACATTATGGCATAATTTAGAAGGGTTAAGAAGGTACGCTTATGTGAACTCTATTATGATTTCTACACAAATATATTTCTTTCTACACACATTAACGTTCCTAGATGGATTAAAAACCCAGTCCTATGGCCAGGAATATCTCTTCCAAAGAACCTGGAGACATTTTCTTATCTTCTATCTTCTTCCTATAATTTAATGGATGATCATTGTCACCGTAATCTGAGCCAGTTTTTGTAGGTTTTTGCGCGCGCTTAAAGGAGCCACAGACAGAGCTTCTTGAAGCAAACTGAGGCTTCTCAAGTGGGCATGAGGCTTATGTGGCGAAGGCTTACCTTCTTTCCAGTAGAACAGGAACACCTAGGAGCAAGAGGAATAAGTGATGCTTACCTACCTTCTTTTCAGCAGAGGTGTCGGCGAAGTTGGTGGTCTTCGAGATGAACCGCGGCCGCTCCCAGCTTATACCAGAAGGTGGCTTCCGTCTTCCCAGCAGAAGTAGACGTATCAATTATACCTTCTTCTCAATAGAAGAAGACGTATCAAACCTACCTTCTTCTCTTTTACAGAGGAGGTAGGTTTGATACGTCTTCTTCTTCGTAGACGTATTAATAAGCTCAGCTTCTTCTCAGCGAAGTTAGTGGTCAGCACCTCGTATGTGACTATGACAGCAGCTCGTTGGCTATAAAGATACCTTTCACAGAGTATGTCAGAAGGTGGCTTGCGTGTTCCCAGCAGAAGTAGACGCATCAATTCTTCCGTCTTCTCTGTAAGCAGACTTATCAAGCTCACCTTCTTCTCAGCAGAGGTGTCGGCGAAGTTGGTGGTCAGCACCTCAGCGGCCAGCAGCGAGTAGCTGATCAAGTTGAAGGTGACGAACGCGAGGAACGTCTTCGAGATGAACCGCGGCCGCTCCCAGCGAATTTCAAATGGCTTGCGTTCTTCCCAGAAGCAGACGTATCAAACTTACCTTCGAAGCATGAGTAGACGGATCAATCCTACCTTCTTCTCTGTAAAAGCAGACGTATCAAGCTCACCTTCTTCTCAGCAGAGGTGTCGGCGAAGTTGGTGGTCAGCACCTCAGCGGCCAGCAGCGAGTAGCTGATCACGTTGAAGGTGACGAACGCGAGGAACGTCTTCGAGATGAACCGCGGCCGCTCCCAGCGAATGTCTCGGAGGTGGAACACCTGGGGGCAAGGAAAACTGGACCTTGAATATGGAGGCTTAGAATCCATTTAGACATGGAGCATTTTGTGGTTAGATCTTTGATCAATAGATGGCGTTTGTCAATTTTTATTTCTGAATCGCGATGTACAGATGATTTTCCTTCACTATAGCCGTGAAATCGCAGGAAACTCGCTAGTGTAAAAAGATTAAGAGTAATTATTAGATTTAATTATACCTGAGCAAATGCTTTATCCGAAAATATTCGTAAAGGTGATTGTAAAATACTTAGACTATCGGGTATTCGGTTATACAAAAGCGTGACTATCGGTCATCCTACGCTTGTAAGATATTATGAGTATTATGCACGAGCACGTATCTTCTAGAAAGTCAAAGAACCCTCTAAAAATAACACAAACGCCGAACTCATGAGCAACTTGACCTCTTAACCTCAGTGGTTCCCAACCAGTGGTCTGTGGATTACCAGACTCAAAATTCATTGCAATTTTTTATTTTTTGTATGCTACCTGTGTTATATTCTAAGCTGTATGTTTTCCCAATAAAGAAAATAAAAATAAAAATTCTGATTAAATTTATTGCGGAACCAATAACAGTTTAACTTTACCCGGGGACAAACTTGACCGTCACTGGGTTCTTATTTGGCGGTCAAGCTATAGATCCTGACTGCACAGGAGTTGCAGAACGAGAGGTGAGAATAGTCTTGAAAGTGGCGAGAGTACGTTTAAAACTAACAGACTCGTGGAACCCTGTTAGAAACAGTCGCCTCCGGCCAGAAACAGTCCTAGGATGCGCATCAGTGCGTCACGATATCTTGTCGATTTTAGACGACAAATGAATTGACTTATTGTGTAATACCACAGAATAAGTAATAGTACAGGTACAGAAGGATTACTCCGCAAGACGATTTAAATAAATGCGAGTCTTGCTACGACGCGATACAGTGGAATTCAGCTCGCACAGCACTACGTACCTACAATTTTATTCACCTACAAGTTTTGTCTCTTTCTATCGCGTGCCTCTGAACTCTTCTTACGCTGTTAGGGTTGCTGTCTAGTGAAAAAATAATTAATCTACTTATTTGTAATGAGGTACGTATGTAGGTAAGTATGCATTCATTATGGAAAACCTTCATAGTAGGTTAGGTTCCTATACTATCCTAAGAATTATTGATTACCTACATGGCCAACATACCTTTCAGCATCTTTGGGAAGCGAAAAAAAAAGATAAATCCGGTAGATTACTTTTCGAATTTAAACACCCGAACGCCGCACAATATTTCTTTCTCTTTATGTCCATTTTTAAATAATACTTCGATCATAGAATTATAATCATACTACAACGCACGCCAGCGTCCTGACGAGTGCGCGCGTGACACTCGACTGATATAATACCCGCCGGCGGGGCGCTTCGCTGTAGGTAATTATCGGATGTACCGCGCGGAGTGAGCCAGGCCTGGTAATACCGATAAAATGCCGTAATAAGACGATATACATAATGGCGCGAATTCTGGACTAGCTGGTCAAGAAAAGGTTGGCCACCACTGTCGCAGGGCAAACTAAATGCCGGCGTGAATAATCGACAAGGCAGCATTGTGTTCGCAAGGACAGTCTTGCATTCTTGCGAGGAACTGGCTTTTGTCCAGTTTTGATAGCGATAGGCCTTTATTCGGAAGACAATACACAATCGGATCAGTAGGTTACATTGAACTCTTATTTTTAACGGACTGATTACGAGAACTATTTAAATAAGTGATAAGTCGTCTAAATAGTTTTTGGGCAATTAGGTACAGTCAGCATCAAATAGTTGGTGACACCCAAATTGGCCAAAAAGTTGGCAAAATGTCTTTGTTACAATTGCCAACTTTTGGCCACTACTACCTTTACTTTGGTACCTATTGCGATATGACCCTTCTTTAAATAAGAAATCGTAATTGAAAATCAAATATCATAGATGGTCTTATTAAATTAATCATTGCTTTTGAAAACAAACCAAAGAACTTGTAAAATAGGTATTATGTTTAAAAATGGCCAAGAAAAAAAAGAAACCTAAATTAAATGGTAAGAAAAAGGTAGTTTGAAAACACCATCTTGGACTAACAATATCCTCAAACTTAATTTTCAAAGGAAAATGCATAAGGAAATATTTAACAAAAAGATTTTGCATTTGAGATAGCTTTTAATGGATTTCCAAAAAACTTGTTTGTTTGTTTCAAAACACCATAGAAGGATGGTCTTCACATTATTTGTATACTGATAATCCCCAATGACATAATTTTAGGTTATTTTTAGGTAAAGAAACTTCCTTAAACAATAAAAAGGAAATTTTTAAAACAAATATTTAGGGCGTGGGTCGAAGTCGTGGGTAAGTAAATGTCAAACTGTAATGTTATTTTTATATCATTTTTCTTTAAAAATCCAGCAAATTGATTAAGATGTCTATGCGCGAAAATGTAACAAACTTACTTAATTTCTATGCATTTTTTATGCAGTACAGTCAGCGTCAAATAGTTCGTGACACCCAAAGTATCCAAATAAGTTCGCAACACGTTTTTGTTACAATTAGGGTTTTCGCGAATGAAAGATCCGCTAGATGGCGGGACGTTGATGTGGGGTCTGACTGCTGCGTGATTGGTGGATTTTGACATATCTGTCAATGTCATGTCAAAAATAACCAATCATGCAGCATTTGGACCTCACGTCTACGTATTGCCATCTGGCGGATTTTTCATTCGCGAAAACCCTCATTGGAAATATAAACTTTTTGGCCACTTTGGGTGTCAAGAACTATTTGACGCTGACTGTACAAAGCAACATTTTGACCGCAATCGCACCTGATGTTAAGAGTCCGATGTAAATTGATTCGAGAATAATAAACCAACCAAATTAAATATTCTTATTGAGCTCATGAATTTGGCTGCCTTGAGAAGATCCGCGATATCTCTTTAAGGGCATCTTGTACTATAAATCTATGTTCAATGATGTATCTATTTATAGCCAACTAGCTTTCCGCCCGCGGCTTCGCCCGCGTCGAATTTTATATAACCTATGACACTCAGCAATAATGTGGCTTTCTATTGGTGAAAGAATTTTTAAAATCGGTTCAGTAGATCCCGAAATTACCCCTTACAATTGAACAAATATACAAACACACAAACTTTACCTCTTTATAATATTAGTGTAGATGATTTATGCTAATTAAATTAATGTTTCTGCCTAAATAAGGACGATTAGATCTATTTTTGGTAAAACAGTTTGAATAGATATTTTGTCAAAATTCCCCAATAATTCTGAAAGGTTTCTAACTTGGCAAAGTTGGTTTTTGATTTTATTTATTTATATATAATTCACTGTGGACTTACAGTTTTACCCAAGACGTCCATCAGCGGCAGAAGTACAGAATACACGATTAACATAAATAGGTGCTTAAATACTACTTGATGTCAACATACCCAGGTACTACCATCATACTTTTTAAAATTAAATTAGTTTGGCAAACTAACATAATATTAAAACACTACAAGTGGTTAAACGCTTGTCCGTGGGAATCACCGTCCTCGCCTCGACCACGAATTGCTCAAACAACATACTCCATAATATTATGTCGTCCATGGCTTTATGGCACTACAGTTATGTACACTGTACAGTTGCGATCACAATTTTATTGTAAGGATATTTTTATTTATTACTAATAATGTCCTGGGTAATTAATAAATAAAAATAGTGGTTCATCTGGTTCAATGATACATAATGTTGAAATGTGATGATGAATCTGATGCGATCAAATTCACCATAACTATGTCTAATAGTTGAAAAGTTCCTGTTCCCATAATCAGTAATAATCGTAATCGTTATAAATTATAGCACAGAATAAATAACAATAATACTGTAAAGTTTCATCCAAATCCGTGCAGTAATTGTTACGGGAAAGAACCAACATACATCCTCAAAAATTTTCGCATATAAGTAAGATTGGCAGGACAATAATGTGTCCTAAAAAGGGCCTCAGAATGTATAAAATATCTCTCGCGACTGTACCTAATAAATTCGCGAATAATTAATAACGACCTAAACCCATAAAACCGCGTTTCAAGTTCATTAGCACTTTCGCAACCTCCGATGTGGACTGCCTTACTGTCAAGGGCGTAGGCTTAAAGGTTAACTAAACCTTTGTCACCTGTCATCCGCTTTGCAAGTTTTGCAATGGAGGTACTAAGTCGAACCTTAACTTCGAACTCCTCCTATGTTCTGATTAATTTCGTTGCGGGTCCAATGACAGTTTAACTTTCCCCGGGACAAACTTGACCTTCACTGGTTGGGTTTTTATTGGCGGTCAAGCTGTAGATCCTGGCTACACAGGAGTTGCAGCGGTGGGAACGAGAGGTGGGTATAGACCCGTAAAGGCGTAGGCCGGCTACATCAGCCAGTACAACGTGCTCTAGTTTAACGTAAATAGAGTTTAGTCTCGAAGGATTTAATTATGGTCTAAGCTCGTAAACAGCGTGTCAAATTTATTAGCACTTTCGCAACCTCCGATGTAGACTGCCTTACTATCAAGGGCGAAGGCTTAAAGGTTACTAAACCTTTGTCACCTGTCATCCACTTTGCAAAGTAGGGAAGTCGAACCTTAACTTCGAACTCCTATGTTGTGATTAATTTCGTTGCGGGTCCAATGACAGTTTAACTTTCCCCGGTACAAACTTGACCTTCACTGGTTGGGTTTTTATTGGCGGTCAAGCTGTAGATCCTGGCTACACAGGAGTTGCAGCGGTGGGAACGTGAGGTGGGTATAGTCCCGTATGGGCGTAGGCCGGCTACAGCAGCCAGTACAACGTGCTCAAGTTTAACGTAAATATATTTTAGTCTCGAAGGATTTAATGATGGTCTATGCTCGTAAAGTGCGTGTCAAGTTCATTAGCACTTTCGCAACCTCCGATGTGGGCTGGCTTACTGTCAAGGGCATAGGCTGTTTGGATGGCTTTGGAGTAGGCCAGTTACATCAGCCG